CGAGTCATAGCGTCATCATGTTATTGCAGCTGTTGCGTTAGTTGGGCCGTCGATGCACCCCCTGCAAGCTGACATAAAATGCCCTTCAATATCCAACAGCCGTTTCGGGTTTGTCTTTTTTTGGCCCCTGAAAACTGCGGTGTTTCTGTTGGTTTCCTTTGAATACCACAAGCCAAAAAGGTACCCCCAAACAAACATCAGACCCATCTTTTTCATTCTTTTTCATTGTCGACGCCAGTCACCTTGGTCAGGGAGCCCACGCAGGGCTCCCTGAATGGACCCGTAAGCTGAGGCAGCTGGACGAGCCCCTTCGCGGGCATTTGGGCGTGGTTTCGAGCCGAAAGTGGGGGGGGGGGGTCATGGGATATGCAAGCACCAAGCCACTGTACAAAGGCCACATCGCCGATTTTTGGTTTGGGGTCCAACTAGTGGCTTGGGGGTGGTGGAAGCTATCTTAGAGAAAGGTGACGTCAGAGTCGGGAAAGCAGTGGCAGCTGTTGCCGTCCGCCGCTTGCAAGAGCCTGGCTTGAGGAAGGCCCACACCACGTAGCTTGCCGAGGTCTTGCCAACATAAGGCATCTCTTGAACATCAGCTCGAGGCTGCCGGTCGGGGAAACATGCAACCAGCTGTTGTGATGGCGGACTCATGAATCGCCTGAATTTTTTCTCCCCATCGGAGATGGCAAGAAGTGGTAACCCAATGTGGAACCATGCAACCAGCGGTTGAGACGGAATCATTTCGCCTTTTTCAGGCAAGAAGTGGTAACAACTGCAGTCACTGTGAGTTAGTGCGTTTTGCCACGGGCACTGCGCCACTGGGCGCAAATCAACGGCCCCTCAACCTGACGGCAGGTTGCCTACGACCTGATCGGTGAGCTGCGTGGGCATTTGGTGGAAACGTTGGAGCCGGAGAGTGGCCGTGAGGTTGGAGTCTGAAAAAACAACAGGGGAAAAAATCCGAGATACATTTTTGGCGCGCTTGATGAGCCAAGCATCGCAAAGAAGCGACTTGTCCCAAAATGCGGAGGATCTCCAAGGACTACTTTGAATCAAGTTCAGGGTTTTGTGGACAACATGTGTCTGCAACTTGTTTGTGGCTAGGAGCTGGGTAGTTTTTGTGTAGTTTGTGGGGTGGGAACTGCAAAAAGAAGTAGCAACCAAGTTTTGACGCCTCCACTTGAGGGTGAAATGCTTCGGCAAGAGGCCCTGCTTTTTCAACTGGACTCTTAGCCCCGCAGGCGCCTCCAAGGCTCCCAGAGCCAACTGCAGAGCCAGAACCAGAAGATAGCAGAAAGAAGGACAGCTCGTTTTTTGCTTAGTGTTGTCCCGGTGCTCACTACGCGAGATATTTGTTTCTTCCGCGGAAGTTGTGGACAAGTTCATGGCATGTCGGGCCTTGGCAGGAAAAGGTGACCCGACGTTCTCAGGGCTCACAAGGTGGCCGTCTCAGCGAGCGCTGAGGGCGGAGGTTTGTCGCATGCCGCCCGAGGCTTGCTTGCGCGGGCGGATGCTCTGGCCGCGGCGACCCGGGCAGCCGTCGATGCGGCGAAGGCGCCTTGGGAAGCGACGCGGGCAAGGGCTGCGCCACAAGAAGTGCCAGGGTGGTAAACAAGCCCAAGGGGCTGGAAAGCGCTAGGCCCATCATGCACACGCCGCCCGTACGCAACAGCCCAGGTTCCGAGAACCGGAGTTTGGGGTCCAACGTCACCATGACGGGGAATTTTACCATCCTTGATCCTGCGTGCCCGCAGCGTGAGGCAGTGCAGCTGGCAAAGTTTCAGAGCGGCATTGCGGCTTTGCCTTTCAGCTCTCCTCGCTTGGCGGTGAAGCAGAGGGTCCAAGTCCAAGGAGGGACGTTTGTGAAAGAGTGTTCGCCAATCCTAAGTGCAGAGCAAGCAATGTGCCGTCCACACTGGGCATCGCCTGTGCTGTTCGTTGCGCTGCCAGCCGCGCAGGAGAGCCCGTGTCTCGAAGTATGAGCCTTGCACTTGGTCATGTTGCAGATGCAATGTCGGCATTCAAAGATACAGAAGGGACCTTGGGTCATGCGGCTGTGAGTTGACAAAGCCGGTAGCCAGGTCCAGCCCTAACTCCGAGCCCGGCATCGTACAGGACTGCTCATGCAATGGGTTTTCCCAGGTTGGCTGCTTTCTGCCGCGCCCGCGCGTGCGCGTGCGAGCCGCGCAGGTCCATTCCAAGTCCGACTGGCCGGGCTGCAGCTCCATTTGCAGTCCCTTTGGATAGGCGAGGATCTAGCTAGTGGTTGGAAGGGAGCCGGACACGGAGCTAGGGGTATCCAAGTTTGGCTTTGGTAGGGATGCTGCTTTGAGCACTTTCCAATTTGCCAATGGTCAGGTCGCTTCGCTTAGTGCGATCGGCAGTTCGGCACACTGGCCAAAGCAGCTCGGACGAGAGCTCTGTGGCTTGCTCCGGGGAGCATGTGGGGGTTGATCACTACTCCTGGCCCAAAATGATAACTTTTCCCGTCTGGTGGCGAAAGTCGCCTTCTTTGGCGGTGGCCACCCCATGTAAAAAGGACCTTTTGAGCAACCCATGTGGAGCCATCCCAGGTTGCCAAGCAGTGCCACAATGTTGGCAGCCGTTGCCTGGACAGCCGACACCTCTGCAGCGTTTGCCCGGGCAGCCTTTGCTTGGCCAGCTTGCGTACACGACGTCCTCTCCGCATTCTTTTGCAGCTTGGCGGCGTCATCGCCCCCCCTTTTTTTTGGGTTTGTCTGTTTTCCCCCTTTTTTCACTTGGGCGAAGGCGGGCATGAGAGCCTGACGGCTAAGGTGGACACCTCGCCTGCCTCCAGCCCGCGGGGGCGCCCCGTGCAGCGCGTGGTGCGGGCGCCGTCGGCATCACCGCGGGTGGGCACCTTCACCCCGCGGATGGCGGAGCCATTGGCGCCCAGGGCAGCGGAGCCCTCGGCGTCGCCACGCACCTCGTCCGCGCCCCAGCTGCAGCCGACGCAGAACGTTCTGCCGGTGCCGCTGCATGCGATGAAGACGCTGCGGAAGCATTTGCCGCAATCAAATGCTAGCTGGCTGCCACCTGGATGCAATTGCATGTTGAGATTGCCGACTTTCAAAACTCAATCGTCATACTATGCCAAAGTTTGTTTGACTATGTCGCTGTAGTTTCTCATTCTGGCACGTGGTTTGAGGTAACCGCCAGTCTCTAGCCTTCACAGGTATTCCCAGCCTGGTCTTCAGCCGGAAGCTTTGCAGCCTGATGGTACTCTGAAGTCCTTACCAAAGCGCAGACCCAGTGGCACAGATGTCATTGGCATTTCTTTCTCAGTGCAGTACTTTGTCACTTGTGCCCTTTCCTTTTAGGAAGGTTGCGTGGCTCATTCTTGTTTTGAGCTGAGGCAGCGGGACCTTGACAGAGTTGAAAATGGCCCACAGGCTGGCTCAGGCTGAGATGAAGCAGGAGCTTGGGCTTGTAAAAGCTGTCCTGCGAGCAACACAGCAAGTGCCATGTATGTGGCCAGCCAGACAACAACCGCATGAGGCACTGGCAGTTGTTTGAATTTGCTCTGATGTCTGTGTAAGACACGCAGGAAACCGGCGAGGACGGTGATGCCACTCGGACTCGGCTAGGGCTAGGGAAGGGCGATCCCAGCCACAAATGGGTGCGGCCGGCTTTTTAGTTCTGTACATGGTTTTGGGTCCCTACCATTTTAATACCGATCGGTTTTGATGGCTGAGTTTCAATCGGTGCAGAGTCTGAGGATGGCGTTGGCGCGCAGTGGGTGGCCTGCCCGAGACTGGATGACAAGGCCCAGTGCCTCCAGGCGCGAGTGGGCATGATAATTTGGTGCTGATGATGTTTGATGTTGCTTATGTTGCTAATGTTGCTTATGTTGCTTGCTTCCAGGTCGCCCCAGATATGTACTTGGTGCGCGTGCCATCTTCGCAGCACCGTGGCAGCAGTCCCGTCCGAAATGCCTCTTCGTTTCGGCGAACTCGGAGACTCAGGCCAGACTCGGCCAGCGTGGAGGTGCCGGATGGTTGACGAGTCACTGGGGGGCTGCCGGGGCTGCCGGGGCTGCCGGGGCTGCCGGGGCTGCCGGGGCTGCCGGGGCTGCCGGGGCTGCCGGGGCTGCCTGCGAGGATTCCCTCTCTTCCACCCTACGCGCGCGGAGCTTGGCTCTCTCATTCTTGAGCCATGAGCGCCATTCACGCATGGCGCTTGACCTGAGGCGCCCCGCTGACAGTGCGCGCATCTTTTCGAAAGGATCAGAGCGGTTGGCGGCTGCTGCGAAGTTTACCGGGACATGGCGGTTGATCAACATGCTGGCCCCCAAATGACCATGGGTAGCTTTTTCAATTGAGTGGGAAATATCATTTTCCTTGGTTCGCGCCAATGATCATCCCATGTAAAGGACCTCCTGATCAACCCCTACATATTTTGAGTGCAGAATGGTTTCAATTGATACACTGCCTGTCATGACTGCAGAGCTGCTGACGGATTCGCCCAGAGCGCGCTTCACTTCTGATGACCACACAGATGTTTTTTGACGAAACTAGAAAAGTGAAGTGCGGCGGGACGAATTGATTTCAACTTGTCTTCTTTCGAGCACCTTGTGCTTGGGAGGAGTTGTAACAGCGAAAAAAACTAACGCAGGATGGTCAGGCTGCCTTCGCGCATCGAACATCGCGAATTCACGCGCTGCGCGGCGGCCATGGCGGGCCTCAAAGCGGAAGCAATCGACCAGCAACTACCCAAAGGGTGTTGGTGGTGTAGCCTTCCCCCAATCGCACGGTCCACGGAAAAAAGGCAAGATGAGCCAATTTGATCTCGCGCTCAAAGCCTTGCATTTGCCGCCGTTTGCTTGACGTTTGGTGAGTTCGGCGCTGGTTGACACATGGCCATGGTTCAAAACCGTGCACCACCCATTTTAGTCTATTTTAGTGGGGATTGGGATGTTCACTGGGGTACGGGAATGGCCACATCTTTGAAATGCAGAGCTGTGAGAGAGTCAGCGTGAAGAGGTGCTTCTCAGCCGAGTGACCGGAGGACGCAGGCTGACGCTGCACGCGCTCCCAGATGACTTTTTGGATGTAACTGGCTCGTTGTGTTAGCAGTGTCAAAGTCGCCCCAGAAGTGGTAGGTTAAAGGGAAACAACCTAAATTTTATGACTTTGATCACCCCTAGGGCCCTAGGGACGGAACCAACAGGATGACCCCAGTCCACACACTTTCCAGGCTTCGTTTTCTCGGCTCGAGGTCGATGATGCTGTGGGGAGCTTGGGGCGAGGCCGGAACGACAAAGCGTAGCAGCAAAGCGGCTAAGCACAGGGCTAAGCGGACCAAAGCAATTGGCATGGCTGGCTCAAAACCTGGGTAGATAGAGGTTAGTAAGACGAAGCCCCGGCTGTAAAAATGGGTGCAGCCGCCTTTGCATTTTTCTTTGCATTAGTTTTGAATTTGACTCGCGGCTTCATGCGATTTGTGTCCCGCAAGACTGGCCCAAAACTTGGAGTGCCGTCCTCCGCGACTATTGCTGCAATGACGCTCGACATTGAACGCAACTTTCACGAGAGAGCGAACCACTGATATCACGGATCGCCTTGTGTGGTCCAAGGGTTGGATGTAAGCAATTCACAGGGGATACCTCCATTGTTGTTGTCAGGGAGGTTATCGGCGCGGCTTGAAGCAGTCTGGCGTGCAGCCGGAAAAGACAATGACGAAGAGATCCAATTTTGTCAAGGAAGACGCTTCTGCTTTTCCAGTCTTCTTGTCTTGTCTAGCTGGTTGGCATTGTTTGGGGTGTTTCTGACCTCTTGCTTTGCTTGCTTGCTTGCTTGCTTGCTTGCTTGCTTTGCTTGCTTTGCTTGCTTTGCTTGCTTTGCTTGCTTTGCTTGCTTTGCTTGCTTTGCTTGCTTTGCTTGCTTTGCTTGCTTTGCTTGCTTTGCTTGCTTTGCTTGCTTTGCTTGCTTTGCTTGCTTTGCTTGCTTTGCTTGCTTGGCTTTGCTTGCTTTGCTTTGCTTTGCTTGCTTTGCTTTGCTTGCTTTGCTTTGCTTTGCTTTGCTTTGCTTTGCTTTGCTTTGCTTTGCTTTGCTTTGCTTTGCTTTGCTTTGCTTTGCTTGCTTGCTTGCTTGCTTGCTTGCTTGTGATAGCCAGGTGCTCAACAAGCCAATGGACGTGCGTTGAGGAGTGTTCGCCTTTCAGCCCTTTTGGGTCGCCTTTAAATGGAACACAAAGGGAAACAACCGGATTGGGGGGTTCCCTCAAACAAAGACCTGCGACATTGAAGCTCTGTTTGGAAGTTAGGGTTGGCTTCCAGGATGCGGAAGTTTCCGAGGTTTCTGGAGGCTTGCGCATGCCAGTGAAAAGGGGTGGCCAAAGGTGTTCTGGGTTCGAGTATGTGGATATTTTAAACTGGGCTTAGCTGACCTTTCGACGCTCTTTGATAAGCATTGGCCCCATCCCTGATCCAACTTGAAGCCCCCAGCCGAACAAGTCCCAAAACCATTGGCCCTCCCCGAAATCCCCCAAGCCATCCCCCAATCCAACCCCCACCCGATCACCATAAACCAGCCTTAGGCCTTATAGCTACCAGCACCATCCCGTGCTGGCAGAGGGAAACGCGCGAAGACTGTTCAAGACCTTTTTTCCAAATTCAGTTTCGACCCCTTGGCACAACACAGCCCAGGAGTGACTCCGTGATGAGCTCCAACAGCCGAAAGCCCACTGGCATGAAGGGCAAGGCAGGCCAACTGCGCATCTTACTTCTGGTGCAGAGAATGAGGGAATGAGCCTTAAGCATCCTTTGTGGTTTCCTTTGAGGGGAGCCTTGGGTTCATTCCCTCATCCCCTACCGTTCGCACCAGCAAGTTTAGGCCCGGCAGCGCCCTAAAGCCGAGCAGCGGCTCAGCCCTAGACAGCCTTGTTTCAACACCTGAGCCATACTCAAAACCCAGGTAGGTGAAGGTTAGTAAGGGAAAGTCCCAGCCAGAATGAGTTGCAGCCGCCCTTGTAGTGCTTTACATTGGTTTGGGTACACCCTTTCAATACCAGGTTTTCATTGTGACTCACCTCGGCATGCAGCAGCCAGCAGCAGCCTGTGGAGGTGCATGACTTGGCCACAACGCTTCAGACGCAGAACGAGGAGCTGAGCATCGAGAAAGGACCGGCCAAGAGAGTTGGCTTCCTCTCCACCATTTCGCCCTATGCTCTTGGGTGTATGTCAAAGAGTTAGGGGTTACGCAGGCTTTGGCCATTGTTTCCATACACCAAGGTTGGTGCATGTTTCTGAACCACAGCCACTTGTGAACAATGATTATGTCGATCATGGCCATCATGATTTGATGACTGTGCTGCAACCTTTTGTCCTGCATTCCACGAGGCCATGTGCACAGCATCAAGGCAGACAATGCAAATTCGTCCACCGGAATGCAGGGACAGCTGAATGCGGCTTGGCTGGCAGAGACAGTTCCTTCCGCAAAAACGCTTGAAGGGTTGTTTTGCAGATATGCGGGGGTGAGCCTGAGCGCTTTCCACAAAGTTAACGGCCTGACTTCACTGTCTGTTCCTGTTCCGGTTCCTGTTGCTGTTGCTGTTGCTGTTGCGGTTGCGGTTGCGGTTGCGGCTGCTGTTGCTGTTGCTGTTGC